CGATGGTGAAGCTGGTGCCAAAGTTTTGCTTTCAATGGTCGAGGAAACATCATGATGATGGAACCGACCATTATATACGAAAGAAGGGCTAGTTGGGTGAAGAGGGCAAGCTATGATCGTTTGACGGCCTTTGTTGCAAATATTCCCTCAGCTCAACGTATTGGCAAAGGGGGGAGGCCGTCAATCGATGAGGATAAGAATTTTCTTTACGAGCCTGATCTTATACTTGTTAAGGAGCTCCTCGAGAGCGAGGACCCTGTGGCGTACCTAGGTAGTTTGCTCTTTATTTCGACTTGATTCATATGCTCGTTTCTTTATTTTTGCTTGCTAACTCCATTTTTCTTGTGTAGGAAGGATGAATCCCATTGTTGAGCGCATGGCTAGGGACGTCCTCCTGGGCTCGAAGAAGGTACAAAAGTATTCCAGACCTTTGCCATGTGATACAGGGACGGCTCCACAGTCGAGTTAAGGCACATCATCGATTGGTCCAGCGACAGAAGCTCTCTTTCCTCAGCAGGTGTCTTCGAGGTTTAAAAGGCAACACCAGGATGAAACAATAGACTTGACAGGCGAGAAGGAGAAGGGGAGGTTCGATCTTCCTCCTTGCTGGCATAATAGGGCCTTCTTCGAGGGGGCTTCCCTGCACCTCCCTTGAGTTGAGTCACTCCTACTTAAGGATCTGGATCGTCCGAGCAAGAGGGTGACGTTGGCTCAGGATGCTGGTGCCGTTATGGGGGTTCTGGAGATGGCCGTTGCGTATACCGAGGGAGGTACTTCCCAGGATGTCGATATGAGGAAGCTACATTCCAATTTGGGGACTCTTGAGAAAGAACGCGCTATTGGGGAGGCTTCCCGAAAGAAGGCAATTGAGAGTTTGGCGAAGATGACCGAGGAACGCGATGCCCTTCTGCTCGAGAAGAAGCTTCCGAGGAGCCAGTGGATTCTCTTAGGGTTGAGTTGGATCCCTTCGAGGACGAGACAGACGAGGTCAAAGGCATGAAGACCCGTGTCAACTTGGTTGCTCGTCTCCAACTGGCCCTAAAGGATTATGTGGTCAATGCTGTGGAGAGCTTTGATAATGCGGTGGTACAACTCCGGGTTCTGAATCCTTGCATCGAGTTTAACACGACTGCAATGAGGCTCTACTACTATGTGGCAGATGGCAATATAGTTATCCCCGAGTTCCTTCAGATTGACGAGGACGTCGAGGTTAGGGAGCCCTCTCATGCAAAGCCTGTTCCTGAGGTCAGTGTAAATGCAGAGGGACTTCAACCCAGTGTTTGATAAGCTTTTGTTTTGGCCTGTGTGCCGTTTTGTTGTAAGTTGTTCGATGGGCTTTCCCCCCTTTTTATGTAAGTTTTAAACAATCGTGGTCCTTGTGGCCACAAGTTCATCTTTTTGACTGAGGGCTTTGGGCCTCCCTTTGTAATACTTTGTATAATTGTGACCTTGGTGGTCATTTTTTTAATTTTCCGAACGTGGTAGTCGTTTTGTTTTAATCTGCATTGTTCAAGTATTTTTCACTTTATTTGTGTTCGATCTGTTGATTATGTGGAATGTTTGCATGATTTTTTATGCTTGTCTGTTTAAGACATTTTTGTATTTATTAAGGATTTGTAGGGGTTTGCTCGTTAGTTTTTGAGTTTTCTAGTATGGAGAAACTAGTCAAACGGCCAGGGCAATTACCGGGCATAAGCCAGAACTCAGGTTTTGTTTTGAGGACCCGAGTTCGACGGCATGGACTTCCCATTGCGAGCTGGGTGTTCTGTCATCGCAGTACGACAATAATGGAGCTCGTTTGATTTATCCACGTTGGGCTAAGGATCTGCTCGTCAAAAGAGTGGAAACATTCATCTTTGTTTAATTTTGAGTGTTATACTTGTACCTAGGCATGCACGTATAGTTGGGCATATGTGCGTTCTTTGTGTTAACGAGACACGCCGACTGTTAAGTGATTTAATTGTAATATTGCCTTAGTTTTTTGGAATTCTAAGGTCGAATAAGTTGTTCCTCCTGTAGGTTTTCCAGGTAGTAGGCTCCATTCTCTGTTTTCACATTGACGCGGTAAATGCCTTCCTAGTTTACGGCAAACTTGTCTTCGCGAGATTCTTTGTGATTTCTCTTTAGGACTAGGCTGCCGATTTCGAATTCACGCCATATGACTTTGGCGTCAATATCTTGTGGCGATTTTTTGTTTGAGAGAAGCTTCTCGTAAGGCTTCTCCTGTACGGATTTCCTCGATAAGGTCGAGCTTTTTCCTTAATACAATGCCGTTCATCTCCTCGTTGAGATGGGCTTCGGTTCGTCTGGAGGGCTCCCTAATTTCTACAGGAATGACGACCTCAGTTCTGTATGCTAGTCAGAAGGGGGTCTCTCTGGAAACAAATTCGACGACAGCATGAAGAAAACTCCGCCACTAGGAGTTTTTCGACGATGGGTGTGTTTAAAATTGGTAACTTAAGTGGTGCACACCGACTGTTTGACGTAATTCCTGAGAGAAATTTGGTTACTTAGAGTAGTATAAACAGTGGATTTTTTGAAGGGTGTATGTGAAGATTAAATTGAGGAATTTTATGGTTTATGTGATGACAATAAGTTGCTGGTTGTTTTCACGTGGAAGAGATTGACTCTTAGTGGCTTTTGTGTAAAAAAACAAGGGAAAGATGAATTTTGAGATTGTGTTGTTAAGTGTGGGGTTATATGAGATATAGATGGATAATTATTGATAATCGGACTTGAACTCAAGATCTTCCACTTATATGTCTTACTCTCTTACCAACTGTACTATGCCATTTTATTCAAGATAAAAAAGTATATAGAAGCATATGATGGTGGGATTTTTTTTTGCTATTTTAAAAATACAAATAATTTAAAGTAAATTATTATATATTTTAAATAAGCAAAATAAATTATTATTAACCAAATACTATTAATACCTAAAAAATTTATGAAATCAAATATAAAAATAATTTGAATATTTTAAAAATGGGACAGACACATTTGAGATATGACATTAGTAAATTAATGAATGAAGTTTAATGATCCAACTCTTGTTTACAAGTATGTTTACTGATAATGTTTAATGATACAAATTAAAACATGTTTAAAAAATTGTTTACTGATATAAGTTTAAAACCAAACCATATTTACTTAATGTGAATTAGTGGTACAAGTACATCAAAACATGTTTACCTAAGATAAATTAATCATGTTTACAAATCAAACTGGTACAGACCAAACCATAAATATATTTTAACAAGGAAGGCTAAATTTTAAAAATTTCATTTCATTTATTCATCTAACTTATCATTACAACTTCAATCACACATCTAAAATTACATTATCAATTTGTGCATTAATAAACTTAAAAGTAAGAAACATAATTTTTTCTAAAATTTCTTCAACTTCTCTTTGTTCTTGAGAGCCACTTGAAAGCCTTCTAGTTCCTTCCTTTGTGTATCCGTTTTGCCTCTTGGATTTTCATTTTTTTTGCTAACATTTTCATTCTCTTTTTTTCTTCATGATAAATATGTCCTTATCATATTTTACTTCATCATAATACCAAGTAAAATAATCACATCCAGCATACTCCTGCATGAATACATGATATTGTTAAATAAAAACAATTAAATAGTGGACATCAAAAACACTTCCAAATTCATACCTTATAGTGTGGATATCCTCAAAATTACTTCCCAAAATTCTTGCCATTCTAAGCATAACCAAGTTTTTACTGAAACAACCAGGACCCAATTGCTTCTACGAAGAAGATGAATAACCCTCGCATTCCAATGTGTTAATCTCTTCTCCACCAATTATGGAGTCTTTAGGATACAGGTACAAATTCGAAGCCTTCATCCTTTTATTTCGGTTATGAATTTGAAGATGCCCTAACTCGTACTATTAATTGAACCTTAAAAGTTGAACACACTGCTATATTTGATGGAGTTGTAGAAGAAGAAGAAAGAAAAAGAAGAAGAACATTGAAGAAAAAGATGAACGTTGGTTTGGAAAAAAACCCTAATTTTAGAAGTTCAGAAAGAAGAACAACGTTGAAGAAGAAAAACAAATAAGAATAATATTAAAGAAGAAGATGAACGTTAATTTATAAAATTTACTCTTACGTGATACATGAGTAGGATAAATTGTTAATAAACTATAATGGTTTAAGTAAAATAACTAAGAGAATAAATTTAAAATAGTTAATAAAATTGAGAGATTAAAATAATCATTTTTAAAATTAAAGAGTCAAAATAAATTTAACTCTAAAGATAAAGAAATGAAAGAATATTAAACCTTTATTTTAATGTAAATAATAATTTATATTTTTAAATCTCATAGGTGCTTTCCATTTTGATCCTTATCCAAGGTCACACAGCACATCCAACTTTTCTTAATCTACTCTTTCCTTGTCTGTATCTCATGTTTCTTCTATAACACATAAAATCCGATTCCAGGGATACAATCGACATTTTAACTCGACACCAGGTAAGCCATTGACGACTATCACTCGCGCGAAAACCAATCAGCAAACACCACCTGTCTAATGACGTATATCACTATTCACTCAATGACGTCATCACAATTCCGTAAGATCCATTACCCACGCGCCATCCTCTCTTCCATCTCCCACAGAAGAATCCAAAGCCATACACGTTTCACACTACACATCATCCACCGCCGTGCACAATACGCTTTCCAGAAGCGCGTGTGATTTTAATTAGAATGATAAAAAAATTATGAATTTTCATAGCAAGGTTCCACTAAACTTCGAAGCATGTGCAAATATAACAACAACTTTTTTCTTTTTACAATAATATAATAACAACTTGTTTTCTGATTTTGTTTTTTGCTTCATTAAAATATAAAAAAAAAAACCTTATATATATTATATAAGAGTTCAGTGTTTGTGTGTGTATTTTTTGAGATAGACAAAAAAAATAACAGTGTAACAACCACAAAACCAAACCAAAATCTTGCTTAGATTCCAATCTTCAAAAATGGAAAATGAAAACCTAGGTCACGGTCGTGGAAAGGTAATTGATGAGTTGTTAAGAGGTCGAGAACTTGCAAATCAACTTAGAAACATTCTCAATGAAAGTGGTGGTGATATTGATGATAATAATGGATCAACAACACCATTTGCTGAACATCTTTTGAAGGAAGTGCTTGTGACCTTTACCAATTCTCTCTTGTTCTTGAACAATACTCAAACTTCTGAGGCCTCTGATATGCAACTCACCAAATCTGAAGATTCTTTGGAGAGTGATTGGAAGAGTACTTCCATTGTTAAGGAAAGAAGAGGCTGTTACAAAAGAAGGTAATTAAGTAACCTCTTTTTATTACTAGTTACTAATTTTACTTCCACAAATTTTCTTTCATAAACCTTAGTATAATTTGTCAGCAGATTCTAACAGGATTAAAATTTTTTAGTGATTATTACCACTTCAAAGAAAACTATATGTAACTTCTTAGATCTATTTAAAGAGTTGACTTTTGAGCATATGGTTTTTCATATCCAGTTAGGTTTAGTATATTTGATTGATTTTTATTTATTTATTAATTATTTTTCTTCTCTTATTCTTGTGTGGCTTATATAATTTCACTTATATTGGAACTTTAGATGAGGTAATGTATACTTTGTTATTTAACTTGATTACTGATAATTAAAAGTTAATCAATACTTTAGTTGTTATTTGTCCCTTACATATGAGTAATATTGGACCCTATCAATTATTGTTCCTCATTATTATCATCATCATCATATCAACCACATATCATGAAGGGGCTATGATGTAATTTGGCATATCCCTTTGTCTCAGTATAGTTATTGTATATTCTGCATTGATATTGGTTTTAAGTTATGGGAACCAATTAGAAAATTTATGTATATGCAATTTTTATTTGCAGAAAAGTTTCACAAACATGGGAGAAGGAGTCTGAATATCTAGTGGAAGATGGTCATCAATGGAGAAAGTATGGCCAAAAAACTATCCTCAACACCAAATTCCCAAGGTGTGTTCCTTTATACTTCTTTCTCAATATCTATCTCTTCTATGCTATGAAATGAATTCACCTAATTGGATTTATGTATGTGATGTGCAGAAACTATTACAGGTGCACTCACAAAGTTGAACAAGGTTGTAAAGCAACAAAACAAGTGCAAAAAGTTCAAGAGGATCCACCTCTTTACAAAACAACCTACATTGGTCATCACACTTGTAGAATCTTACAAAGCCCTGACACTACAAAAATATATGTCCCCAGCGACATATATTAGCGACGTGCTTATCACGTGGGTAGTAGCGACGTGATAACCACGTCGCTAATATATTTTAATGACATTTAATGGAATCTGATGAACGTTGTTGGGAGGGAAGTTTGAAATTTTGTAGCGACGTGTTAGCCACGTCGCTAAATTTTTGGGGGGAAAATGCGCAGTGTTGGACAGAGAAAAGTATTTATGGTTGCATTGTAGCGACGTGATTATCACGTGGCAACGTGGCGACGTGACAGTCACGTCGCTACTAGAAGTTACAAATGTTAACGTTTTGATTTACAGTAGCGTGCTTCTTCTTCTTCCTTTGCTTTCCTTTGCTTGCTTCCATTCCATTACAGCAACTCTCACAAACTCAAACCCAATTTTGCGAATTAATTTTCTTCCATTCCAATTTGTTGAAGAAATCTAAGGTATGCATGTGATGTTAAATGTTTATTTCGTTTTATCTTTAGTTTTTATACTGGAATTTAATTAACATGGTATTTGTTGGATTGTTCCTTATTATTTGTAGAGAAATTTGAAGAACACCAAGAACTAGAAGACGCAAATTTATTGAAGAAATTATATAGAGGTATTTATGCATTTTTTTTTAGATTTTATATGTATTATATAGATTAGATTTGTATATGTATTTTGTGGTAATTAGGAATATATGTATATACTGTTAGTAGTATAAAATTACTGATAATAAAAAAAATTTTAAAAACATATTTAATAACATATTTAATATATTTTTTGCATATGTAATTTGTATATGTAATTTGCATATTTTTTGCATATGTGATTTATATATTTTTTAGTAGTATATTTGTATATGTAATTTGCATATTTTTTAATAACATATTTAATATATTTTTTAAAAAATTTTAGAAAACATAAATTTAATAACATATTTAATAACATGTTTTTTATAGATGTAAATTGTATTTATTATAATAGTTTTATTTTTTTATTTATATGTTAAAGATATGGAAAAAATATTATATATTAGAATAACAATTTATAAAAAACATATTTAAAAAAAGAATATATATATTATATTATTATTTTAATATTATTGTTATATATATAATAATAAATAGTATGTATCTTACATTATTTGTTTTCTAAATATATTATAGTATATTATAGTATATTTAAATAGTATGTATCTTATATTATATATAATAAAAAGTAAATATGTTATATTATTGTTTTTTGATATTATTGTTATGTAATAAAAAATTATATATTTTACATTTGAATATTTATTTATATGTTAGTATATATATAAAAAAGCAAAATTTATATTTCTAAGAATAGTATTAAATAGTTTAAGAATATTTCTAATGAAAAAGACAATGATTGTATAAATGTGCAGTATGGAATATTATCGGTATTATCGCAGTTGGATGTACGATAGAACATATCCAGGAAGAAGTGGACTTAAACCCAATTTTATAGTAGGAGTTGATGGGTTTATTAAGTGGGCGTTTGCTCAGGATTGTTGTCGAAGCGAAGGAGGGGTTAGATGTCCCTGTCTTAAGTGTGAATGTAGACCAATAATTAGTGACCCAGAGGAAGTAACACGTCATCTGCATAGAAGGGGATTCATTGAAAATTATTGGGTTTGGACGTATAATGGTGAAGAACTACCGGTTAATGTACCAGAGACTAGCAACACGCATGCTTCAAGTAGTCGACCGGTTATGGAGTATGAGGAGAACTTTAATTTGATCGGTGACATGGTTGAGGATGCTTTTGGTGTGAACGTGACATATGATGAACCTGAAGATTTTGACGGGGAAGAGTTGCCGAATGAGGAAGCGCAAAGATTTTATCAATTATTGAACGAGATGAATACGCCGTTGTTTGAGGGGTCGTCAGACTCGAAGCTATCAATGTGTGTGAGATTATTGGCTGCCAAGTCAAATTGGAATGTTTCTGATCAATGTTTGGAACATTTTGCAAAAATGATGTTGGACTCCACCGCTACGAAAGACAATTTGCCTACAAGTTATTATGATGCAAAGAAGTGGGTGTCGAAGTTGGGTTTAAAAGTAAGAAAGATTGACTGTTGCATTAACGGTTGCATGTTGTTTTATGACAATGAGTTTGGTATTCAAGATGGATCGTTAGAGGAGTGTAAGTTTTGTAATAGTCCAAGATATCAAGTTCGCAGTAGAGCCGTTAACAGCAAGCAAAAGCGTGTAGCAGTAAAATCCATGTTTTATCTTCCTATAATACCAAGGTTAAAAAGAATGTTTGCTTCAATGCACAGTGCAAGTCAAATGACATGGCATCATACAAACCAAACAAGTTCTGGCACTATGCGACATCCATCTGATGGTGAGGCATGGAAGCACTTTGATCGGACACATCCAGATTTTGCTGCAGAACCTAGAAATGTCAGGCTTGGATTATGCTCTGATGGATTTGCCCCATACGTGCAAGCGTCAGGAAGTGCGTACTCTTGTTGGCCAGTTATTGTAACACCTTACAACCTCCCTCCTGAGATGTGCATGACAAAACCATACATGTTTTTGACGTGTGTTATTCCAGGCCCGCACAGTCCAAAAGCCGGAATTGATGTGTACTTACAACCTTTAATTGATGATTTGAAGAAGATGTGGATTGGAGAATGGACTTATGATATATCCCGTAAACAGAACTTCACATTACGAGCTGCCTTGATGTGGACCGTTAATGACTTTCCAGCATATGGCATGTTGTCTGGTTGGGGTACGCATGGAAAAATGGGTTGTCCGCATTGCATGGGATACACCAAAGCATTTACGTTGGATAAAGGTGGGAAAAGCTCATGGTTTGACTGTCACCGCAGATTCCTACCAGCAAATCACCCGTATAGAAGAAACAAGACAAATTTTAAAAAAGATGTACGAGAGAAAGATTTGCCTCCGCCTCGATTGCCACCAGGGGTTATATGGAACCAAGTATGTGAACTACCAAAATTTACAGATACTGGGAAAGCATGCCGAATTGAAGGATACGGCGTCACCCACAATTGGACAAAAAGAAGTATATTTTGGGATCTTCCGTATTGGAAAGATAATTTGTTGCGCCATAATCTTGATGTTATGCATATTGAGAAGAATTTTTTTGATAATGTATTTAACACAGTGATGGATGTGACAGGAAAAACAAAAGATAATGAGAAGGCCAGACAAGACATGGGAATTTGGTGTAATCGAAGAGAGTTGGAGTTGAAGCCTCAACCGAATGGAAAATTATTAAAACCCAAGGCTTGTTTCAGTCTGACTTCCCAAGAAGCTAAAGCGGTTTGTAGATGGTTAAAAGAATTGAGAATGCCCGATGGGTATTCATCAAATTTAGCAAGGTGTGCTGACCCTAACACTGGAAAATTGCATGGTATGAAAAGTCATGATTGTCACATTTTTATGGAACAGTTGCTACCAATTGCATTTGGATCGCTACCCAAACATGTTCTTGACCCACTAACTGAAATTAGTCAATTTTTTAGAGATATTTGTGCGTCAGCTTTAAAAGTGGAAGACATCATTAAGTTGGACCAAAACATTGCACTCATTCTTTGTAAGTTGGAACAAGTATTTCCGCCTGGTTTCTTTGACTCCATGGAACATTTACCTGTGCATCTTGCATATGAGGCTTATCTTGGTGGACCTGTTCAATATAGGTGGATGTATCCGTTTGAAAGGTTCATGGGTGATTCAAAGAGATCGGTAAAAAATAAAGCTAGAGTAGAAGGATCTATATGTGCACATTACTTGCATCGGGAAACATCACATTTTTGCAGTCACTATTTCAATCACTTGATGTTAACTCCTAGAATCATACGGAATCCTGTAAATGTCAATCAGAGGAGTCAATTCACCTTATCAGTCTTTGCGCTACCAGGTCGACCTTCTGGAAAGAAGGGTGTGCATTGGTTGACCCAAAAAGAAATGCAATCTGCACATGTCCATGTCTTGATCAACTGCGTTGAAGTTAAACCATATCTTGAGTGAGTTTACCAAAACTTTTTAAACTTATGGTGTGTGTATACCAAACTTATTAAACTTATTGTGTGTTTTTTGTAGGGAATTTAACAATGCCTATTTTCATAGTACCGGGGTACAGTCAACATCAGGTGTCATTCATGCTCAATTTCCCTCATGGTTCAAGCAAACATTGTCTAGCGTTCCTGCACTAACTCCAGAAATACTCCATTTGAGAAACTTGGCAGAAGGCCCTATCCAAAGCGCAAATGATTGGCACACATACTTCGTGAACGGATATAAATTTCACACTGAGGCATGGACCGAAGGGAAAAAAACCATAAATAGTGGTGTTTTTGTAAAAGGAGTTACAGATGGCGGTGAAGACGACTTCTATGGATTTGTTAAACATATCTACGAGTTGGTATACAATTACTTGGACACGGAAAATAAAGTTGTCTTGTTTTATTGTGAATGGTATGATCCAACTAGAGGCACAAAGATAGACAAGTCATATGGTTCTGTCGAGATTCAAATGAACCGGAGATACAAAGAATATGACCCTTTCATAATGTCACATATTGTTAGGCAAGTTTATTATGTTCCTTATCCTTCATTTGTAATACGTAAAAGAGGATGGTGTGTTGTAATAAAAACAAAACCGCTAGGTCATATTGAAACTGGAGATCTAGTGGAAGATGTTGCCTACCAAGTTGATGACGTTGAACAGATTAATGATGTGGTTGCAGCTGAAGACATTACAACTTTGTCCGATACAACTGTTGAGGGCCTTCAAGTTGATGCGTCTATATTGTTGGTTGATAATAATGTGGATGAAGACAATGATGAAGAGTTTGAATCCGAGGACAATATTACATCGGATGATGAACATGATATGGATAACGAGCATGAAGATTTAGATTAATTAATCACTTAATGTAATATTAATGAATATCTATTGAACATTTATATATTGAATTTGTCAATGAATATATATTTATGTCAATGACTTTATTATCTTTGTTTATGAAAATATATATAACTAGGTAAAATGGCACCGAAGAATAAGGATACCGGTAAGAAGTCTCAGCGTCCGAGGGTAGTAACATGTGAGTCTCCTCACTCAGCCATGTGCCCACCCCCTCAGAGTCAGGTTGATCATATGTCCCTGGCCAGTACTCAGGGTTTTGTCCCATTACTCTCCTCCCATACATTCCCGTCTGGGGTACCTGCATCTTTTGTGCCACCTGGAGGCCCCGGTTTCCTTTACCCACAGACTCAGATGCCGTCTTCCTTCCAGCATGCAGCAGGATCTAGTTTCCCTTTCCCACCGACCCAGATGCCGTCATCCTTCCAGCAGGCGGGAGGATCTAGTGTTCCTTTCCCACATACTCAGATGCCATCTTCCTTCCAGCATGCGGGAGGATCTAGTTTCCCTTTCGCACCGACCCAGGTGCCTTCATCTTTCCAGCAGACTGGTGTCCCCTCATCATTCCAGCAGACGGGGGGAGGACCCAGTTTTCCATTTATACAGACTGGCGTGCCTTCATCATTCCAGCAGACAGGGGGACCCACACAGATGTATTCATCCTTCCAGCAGGCGGGAGGGTCCAGCACCCCACACTCCACACACATTGGAGGACCCAGCAGTCCACGTCCGGCACAGGCTGCAGGATCCCGCGCCCCACGTCCTAGACGGACCGGAGGGTCACGCACCCCTCATCCCACACAGGCTGCAGGATCCAGCACCCCACGTCCTACACAGGCTGGCGGTGATGCAGATGTCGTAGCTGATGATATAGATGGAGCTGATATTCGTGAGAGATCAGATGATCCGAGTGAGATTCATGTAATTGACGGGAGGTTTTGGATTTGGCCCGAAGGAAGCAAGTAAGTTTCTTATATAAACTTTTATTTAAGTACATATTCATTTTAATATTTTGTATAAATTTATAATTAATATTGTTTATTCAAAATCTTGTTGTTTAGTTTCGCGCCGAGTCGGACGGCTGCCAAGGTTATTAATTATATAATCCAGCAGATGTATAAATCCTCTTGGAAGAACTTTGGCGAGGTTACAAATAAAGAAGAATGGTTTAAAAAATTTAAGGTATTGTTATTTATTTAAGTTGTAAATTTATTATATTTTTTTAGTATTGTTATTTAAGTCACATTTTAATGATAATTGCTTAACTTTTTATTTTAATGTCATACAACATTGCAGGAAAAATGTGTGTGGGATCCGTTGAATGAGAAAATAATGGAAAAAATATATTATAGCAGAACTTCTAGAAGATTTTCGGATATAATGCGGCGGGTTAGGGAGAATTATGAGCTGCATGGTATCCGTCCTAACTGGATAGGCGTAGAGGTTTTTGGCGAACTTCGTACATATTGGAGTTCGCCAGAATTCAAGGCCAAATCTGAAAATTTTAAGAAGATGAGGGCATCAGAAAAAGGGGGATGTGTCAATACTGTTGGAAGTATTAGCACTGCAGAGCATGTCCGACGGATGGTAAATATTACTAATTTTTTAAGTTATATATATTTTTATTCATAATATTTGTTACTAATTATTTTTAACTTTATTGTTTAGACTAAGGAGATGGGGAGACCACCATTGATGATTGAGTTGATTACGAGGACTCGGACAAAAAAATCGGGAGGTTTTGTCGACGACCGCACCCAGAAAGCTTTTGTAAGTAATTAAACTTATGTTTTTTTTTTAAGTTAATAACAAAAATAGTGACGTTATTTCCACGTGGCAATCTATAAGTTGTGGCGTGATTATCATGTGGCAACTGATAAATTGCCAGGTGACTGATTTTCATATGGCAACTGATACATTGCCACGGGAAACTCACGTGGCAATTCATAAGTTGATTTGTGAAAATCACGTGACAAATTTTTAATATATTTGAATTTAGTATAATTTAATATATAAATGTTTTAATTTTTTTTTAATTGTATTATGTAATATTTTTAATGTATAATTTAATGTGTAGGATGATTATCAGACATTGCTAGCAAATTTTCTAGAACACAATCCGCAATATAGGCCAGCAGAGGGGGAGCCGCTTAATGGGGATGTTGATTTCTATATTTGGAATGAGGTTGTTAATGGAAAAGGGCCTAATGGTTGCTTTTTTGCGGGAGGAAATTTGGCCGCCGGCTTGAGAGTTGGTGATCGTAATCTGTTTCAAAGACTTAGAGATGGAGAAGGGGGGTCACGTCAACCCAATCTGACTCAGGTTCAACTTGAAACAGTACGACAATTGGCGGCCAGTGAAGTGAGACGCGAAATGGAGGCCCAAATGACGACAATGAGGCAAGAGCAGGAGCGTCAGTTAGAGATCATGCGGAAGCGGCAATCTGATATGGAGGAGCAGATGAGACAGTTTATGCAAGGGGGTCGAAATCAAAATGTTCCTGATCATACACAGCCGGATGATGACGGACTTGATGACTTTGATCTTGATAATTTTCCGGGTGAAGATGCCCCGTGAAAACATTTTTTTTATTTCGTTTTTATATTTGCATTTATGTAAGATATTTATTTTTATCATTTTAAATTAATAAATTATATAACATTTAATTATGTGAATTTATTTTATAAAATTCTATTATTCGAAATATAAAATAAAATACTATTATTCTAATAATTTTAATATATAAATTTTATTATATAAATTTTATTATATAAATTTTAATATATAAATTTTATTATATAAATTTTAATATATAAATTTTATTATATAAATTTTATTATTTAAATTTTATTATATAAATTTTATTATTTAAATTTTATTACATTAATGAATTAATATAAAAAATAATTATTAACAATTTTTTAAAAAATAAAAACGTCCCCTGTAGCGACGTGGGATTCATGTCACAAATTAGTGACATGAATCTCACGTCGCTAATAAAGCTGCATTAACAAATATGTAGCGACGTGAATACCACGTCACAACTTTGTGACGTGGGAATCACGTCGCTACTTGCTTGCCACTTACTCCCCAGCGACATAACTCACCACGTCGCTAATTTTGCTTTGCCACGTGATTTTGATGTTTGCCACATGAATTTCACGTGGCAACTAAGCTTCTTTTTTGTAGTGTGAGATCATAGTGGATTCACTTTCTCCTTCTCATCAATCTTCCATGTTCCTTAGTTTTGACAACTCTTTTCCAACACCAGCCAAACAAGACTGCCCTTTTCTCACATCACCTTCTTATCCATCAACATCATCATCAATTTCATCATTGCAAAAGGAGTGCAAGCAAGAGATTGTTCATCCTCCTCCTTCATCTTCTGCTAATGATTATTACCTCTCTGGACTCACTTTTGATGATTCTGAAAAGGATGTCACACTATCATCAACACTTGATTCTCATCAACTAGGTGTCCATATTCCTGATATCTTGTATGATGATGTCCTTAATTGGCCTCTTTCTTGAAATTTGATGATTATAACTATGTTTTGGTCAATGAGTTGTCCTTTGTCTTAGTGTGTCTTTCCATTATGGATTTTAGTTTAATATGGTTGCTAGCTAGTAGGAGAGATTAGGTTAATATGGTTGGTTGCTAGCTAGCTTGGCTTCATTTTGTGTAAAATATATTTTGTATTTATCCATTCCAATGGAAATGGGACATAATTTTTATTATCAACCAAGTAAATGTGTTACACATAGTGATGTAAAAATGACTCTTTTGTTTTATTAAGCTATCTCAATTGTTAATTGTGGAGAGAAAACAAATTGATGGACTTTGAATTTGAACCCGCCACATTCCACTTATTCACATTCAAAGAGTGAAATTTCAATCATTAAAATATTTGAAAAAAATGGCTTCATCAAGGTGCAGTTTAGAGTAATAAAAGCAACGTGCAGAGTGATTATGTAGTATGTACTGTATAGGAGATGAGGTTATAATGGGTGAATTTAATGTTTCATTGCATGAAATATCAAAAGTGACTATTATTAATGTGATGTGGGGTTGTTGTTTTTCTGTTTTGTTGTTTTGTTGTTTTGGGGTGAGTGGGATATAGTACAAAGAGAAAAAGGTGACGTAGATGTTTCGTTGGTATGTGAATGTGTGAGATTTATCTTATTTACAGCGTGCAAAATAGCATGGCCACAAACTCCTGATCCACATGAATAATTATTTCTTGGCTTTATAGGAACAAAAAAAAGAATTTCGATGTTTTACATTGCTTCAAAGTTTTAAGAAATAATTTGTTATTACTTTTTTTTTTATTTAAACTTATTTTGGGTACACAAGATAAAATTCTTTGGTGGTCATTGATTAATATACGTAAAAGAATGAATTTTCTTTGGAGAAGAAATGTGCATGAAAGATGGTATTTCTTTTATATCTGTCTAATTTATTTTAAGAAAGATTATAAATTTAATTTTTTTTCTTCAACACTTGTATTAAAAGTACAAGGGGTGTAACTCAATACAAAAAGTAATAAAATAAAATCAAACGAGGATCAAACAATAAAAAAAGAAGAAGCTTAAGCCCCAATGTATAGAAAGTCAATCCCAACCTAATGATTTAATTATGCTCAAAATGTCAACGCAATTCCAAACAAACTTATTAAAAACAATCTTATTTCTATCCAACCAAACACACCAACACACTAAAAGGCAAAGGAAAGCAAAGAAGGATGGTTTGACAATCCCACCCCATCTTGACCGAATTCTATCCACTAAAAGGTAATCTGAATCAAACCCCTCAAAACCAACCGACGCCACTTCCTCCACATCATCCATCTTTAAACACCCAAAAACACATTTTCAAAGAAGCCTCACATGAGCACAATAAAAAAATAAATGACCCACCGATTATTCTTCCAAACCACACAAAAGACAAAAAACATTATTCAAAATATTATCCATACCATACTTACAAAGTTCCCAACGAGTAGGTAAGGCATTGAGCAAGAGCCGCCAACCAAATAACTTTACCTTACAAGGCACACAAGCGACACATAACCCCTTCAACTCAAGAATGCATTCCTCATCCAACTCCACCCTGAATCCTTCAATGAATATAGCCAAGAAAATCTATTTTTCACCGAAAAATCATCAACATGCCTTCACCACACCAAAGAATCACCACACTCCTCCATCGAATTAATCCCTTTCAAAATATTCAACAACTCTCTCCGCTCAAGAACCGCCTCCTCTTCCATAAGATCGAACTCCCCAACACCCAAATCTCACCTCCAAGAATCGCCCACCCAAGTGCCCATATTAGCCATACAAGAGTAAGAAGAAACACGAGAACACACATCATACAACCGAGTAAAAATTCCTTTAAAAGGAAATGAACCCAACTAACTGTGATCCCAAAACCGAATAGAATGGTCGTCCCCTAATTTTCAATAAATACAATTTGAAAATCAAGATTGGCCATTGACTTCCAACCCACACACATGAACATGGTACTATTTCCTAAGGAATTTGTTAAAAAAACGATGAAATTGAGTATCAACTCGAAGTAATATAATTTGACCTTGATAGATGTAATAAATTGAGTGACAATCGACTTCGATATGTTTGACATGCATGAAAAATATGACTTGAAACTATTTGAATGACACTTACGTTGTCAACATAAAGCGATGTATGCTCTATTTGAGGAAACTCAAGATCAACCAACAAACCACAAGCCTAAGTGATTTCTGAATAAACAACAACGTGGTTCAATCCTTTGATTATGTAAAAGATTTAGAGACTCTTGTTTGTTTTTTACTTTTCCAAGAGCTTAATGAAGAACCAAAAAACTTGCATCAACCAGAGCGCCCAATCATCATCAATATAAGCAGTCAATTTACACTTTTACAAAACGCGTAAACAACAACGCCATGGTCACCACGGTTCTTCCCTACATCGTGGTGACATCTCTAAACTAAGGTGCTACCATATTATTTTTATTTTTTGATTAAAAATTAATTGTATAACAACGGTTGAGGAGCCAACCATGGTGATATCATCAAGCTTTCATGGGTTGGAACCTCAGCTCCCTCATATATATTATTTCTTTAATGTTAATGAGCGTATTTTCTTTTTTTATTTATTTTTAAGTAAAAAACTTAAAGGATTATGACTACGATTAGTGTGTTCCACCGTTGTGACACACACACACACACACACACACACACACACACACACACACACACACACACACACACACACACACACACACACACACACACACACACACACACACACACACACACACACACACACACACACACACACACACACACATATATATATATATATATATATATATATATATATATATATATATATATATATATATATATATATATATATATATATATATATATATATATATATATATATATATATATATATATATATATATATATATATCACCACGGTTGGTATTGTAAACCGTTGTGAGTATATTTATATATAAGCGAATTAACACCCGCTCTTTGACAGTAGTGCTGTATCTTTCACAGCAAAACCCTAGAACCCATTTTTCTCTTCTTCTTCATCATTAGCATTCCTATTCTACAGTATAACCGTCAATCTTGTTCTTCTTACATAAAGGTATTTTTCTTTTTCCTTATTCTATCGTTTTCATGTATGTTGTTATGTTTCACATGGTTTTCCTATAATTTTCTTCTTATTAGATAGTTTATTGTTTTTTTATGGTTGTATGTTATTTAATGTTGTTATTTCATATTGTGTTATTGACAAATAAGCTTGTGGTTTCACATATTGATAATACTAATGGTGTTTGTAAGATTCAAGAAACAACAACAATATCAAACTTCATCTAGTTTAAGAAGCTATGCGAAGAAATATAAGAAATATGAAGCTATTGTGTAAACTTCATCCATCTTATATTTCTTTCTCATGGCTTCACTGTGCCAAACAAGACATTAAACAACACTTTTTTTGGCTTTTAACAGTGCTTAAAAGCACTGCCTAAAGCAGCGCTGCTAAAAGTAAAGACAACGCTTTTTTCAATGTAAAAGCGTTGTTTTATGCCCACTTTAGGCAGCACTTTTACATTAAAAGCGCTTTCTTATGCACCCCCTTTAGACAACACTTTTAAAATAGACAGCGCTTTTTTATATACCCCTTTAGCAGCGCTTTTGCTTTAGACAGCGCTTTATGTTATTTTTTAAGTTAGGCTTTAGACAACACTCTTCTTTAAAAGCGTTGTCTATTCCCCCACTTTAGACAACGCTTTTCCACTTTAAGCAGTGCTTTTTTTGACTTTTTACAACGCTTTTCTCTTAAAGTGCTGTCTATTGATCACGATTTTTTTAAAATAAAATACCTATTTTGACTTACAAAAACGCTGTCCAATATATGTAATGCATTTTAATCAGATTTTAACCATATTTGAACCAGGTTTTCACCATATTATGCACCATATTTGGTAGCTTCATTCCAATAAAATATGCATATGTAAAAATTCCACATATATATAAATTGATGATATATACAACAACAACTACAAAATTTATGATACAAGTTAAAATTCTACCAGTTGAAAATCCTAAAATTAAAAATTGATGTTACATCTACATCTTACTATCTTCGAGAATTCTCATAAAACAACAACAACATGAATATCATAGCTCTATCTTCTACACATGCACCTATAAACCTGGAAAAAAAAACCAAATGGTCGAAATTTATTACATGATAATATTAATGTTGCACTTTATTCAAATTTAATTTATACTCAAAACTCAAAAGTTCTCATCAAAGGAAATAAGACAATATACCTTAGCTTATAAAATTCTCAACCCGATAATGAATTGACACCATTCCTCCATAAGTTCATCCAATTGATCTTTTGAGTAATGTGCATAATTGAATTCCTCAAAGTACTAGATATATAATAATATAACATAATATGTGATTTAGTTAAAACAATATGTCATTTTATGAGAAACACAAAATATGAAAATAGTATGTAATTCTTAAGTTAGAAATCTATACCGTGGATGGAATCTCTAATCGATCCAAAAGAATAGTTTCTTTTATAAACCTCAATATGAAATAGCCGCAATCTATACCGTTACGCTGACGAGGACACTACACATGGAAATAAAATACGAATATATATCAGGATATACCCCTTAAATTGTTTTATCAAGTATCATCACTAATGTAATCAAAACTAAATATCTCTTTGTGAAAATATACCTCCACTCTGATCCATGTAATGTTGTTGGCTCTACTTGTTGGCACTTGAATATCTCTTTGGGAGTGAAAAGCTAGCAGAACGCTATAATATAAATGATTGTTTAGAACAATCTCACATAGAAACATAAACACAAATCCAGATATATATCTTTGGGATCGAAAAACTTACGTGTTAATCATCTTCTTTAAATTTGGATATATTGATCAATCATTGTATAACGAATTCAGATAATACACAATATCTCTTACAA